AATTTAAGCACTATTTATATATTATTATGCTGGTATAATTGAAAATTATTTATATATATAAAATAAAATTTTAATTTTTTCAAAAAAGGCACTTGGTCGGGCTATGAGAAACAATTATATTTGTTTGCATAGCTAATGTTAAATTGCTTGAAATAAAAACTAAACTACTTTTTATTGCTTATAAATTTAAATTTACTATATAACTTGTTTTAGTAGACTTTTTTAATGCTAAAATTATTTTGAATTAATTTAAATATAAAATAAGTTAGTTTTACTAAATTACACTAATAGTACTAGCACTATATTGATTTTGACCAATAAAATTAATAAAATGCAATGTTATATCAAAATTAAATATAACATAATATTAAAATAATTTTTGTTGTTTTTTTTAAAAAAATCTTTAATAACTCAAAATTTAGCTTATAAAACCATCTAATAAAAAAATTTCTTGTATAATTTTAGTATATATTAACTATTGTTTATAATTTTAACTATAACTCTAACAAGAATATAGTGGCTTAGTAAAGTGGTCTAGTTGTCACCCACTAAGTGGCAGGTCTAGCAGAGGTCTTTTTCGATTTTTAACAGCTGCCCTACCTTGGAAAGTGTGTCGAGAGTACGTTAAGTATAACCCAGGTTTGCATAAGGAGAGTATCTTTCTGCATATCGAATACAAAGTAAATTTCTAATTATATTATATAATTGGAAACTCTACTTTGTATTCGATACGCAGGAAAATGCTTTCCTTATACAAACTCAGATTATACTTAACGTACTCCCAACGCACTTTCCAAGATAGGGCAGCTGTTAAAAATTAAAAAAGATCTCTGCTAGCAGGTCTAAAGTTCAAATCTCATAAACAATATTTTTGAAAAATGAACCTGCATTACATAACTAGAACACTGATTTTTAGATTTGTATGATCTGTAGCTTGAGTTGTACCAAGACATTTGTATCTGGAAGATCTTGTGGCATTCATATAATCTAATTGAGAAGTATAAAGATATGCTAACTAGTTTCAGGTAGTGCAAGCACATGATAAGTTCAAAGAAGTATGTAAATCTTAGGGATATTTGTACAAAGCTGAAAACCTACTTGGAAAGCCCCAAATTGAAAATGGTAGTTACTTTCGATAGTACTGTGGAATTGAAAACTATATCAAGAACTAAACTAGAAGACCTGATATCCATGACCCTCTTAGGTTTGGGTCACACCAACCTGGTTACCAGAGTTATACCAGATAAAAAAGATATTGTTTTGGAAGTATATACCGGTATCAAGAGAAGAAAGACCGTTAGACACTTAAAACCAGGCAAACCAACTCTTCTAAGCTAACTGGATTGGAAATCAGGAACATTTCTGAAAATGAACTTATGATGTTGAATAAGAAGCAGGTACTGGAGTAGTTGTAAACCCAATAAAGGCAAGAAGTATATAATAGATGACTAATTAGAAAGGTTGGGCTTAGGATATAGATTGTGTTACAGCAGCATCCCAAAAAGTGGCATAAGATATGAACACAATAGTAGTAGACAATATGTACTAATTAGAAAGAAATTACTGAATATACAGGTAATTACATATATAGGACATGTAGGCAGCGTCAACTAAAACACAGCTTATAGCATTTTTTCTATTTTGAGAAAATCACATTTAAAATTTGGTGTAACAATAACAATGATGATCTATTATTAGTATAACCTGTTAGATCAACATTTGCTAGCCAATCATACGAATCTTTTTCTATGACTTTGCAGCAAGGATTGACAACTGGATATCCAAATTCTAATTTTAGATTATGTTTAAACATATACAGCATTTCAAAAAGAAAGCATCGACAAAAATTTTATTATGTATATTAATGCTTTAAATGTAAAATTATATAGAAAAATTCTTGCTTTATATAATGGTATAGTTAACTCATTTTTGCAAAAAATGCCATAAGCTGTGTTTTAGTTGACGCTGCCCTATGTACTATTCTGTTAGGTTTACTACAAAGATAAATGCTTCTAGAAATAGGTAAATAGTAGCTAAAATCTTAGAGTCTTTATATAGTAAATTACTCCCTGTATAGAGGTATATTAGGAGAAAGTATATAATGTTAGTTGAAGCTAGAGAGTTTAAATAAATAGCTTTCTAGTTAGGCTATAGGTATGGCATCTAGTGTAGAACCCCTAGCATAGCACTAATGCTTTTGGTAGACTACTTAAATTAGACAATCAAAAGTTGTATGTGTGACTAGTTATACTCTCATGATACTGATATAATATGTAAACCAGTTTTATGACAATGGCCTATCTGTTTGAACTAATAAAGTGCCAAGGGCCTAAGTGATCACTTTAATATTAAAAAAAAAATAATAACTATAACTCTAACACTAATATAAACTAAATTTTAATAAATTTTATTAATTTTTTAATAATGATTTTCATATTATACTGCATATATAATATACTAATGTTAGCACTACAGGTGTAATTTAATATAATTGAAATAGATTATTATTATTATTATTATTTTTTTAGATTAGATCTAATTAATAAGTTTAAAATTACAAAAATACAAAATATTTTAAGCTGTATAATAAATTAATAAAAAATTTATTAAATTGGTTAGATCAAAATATCAATTACTCAATTTTGATTATCATGCTAATTATTATTAGTAAGATTTAGCAAAGCTTAATTTTTTTTTCAATTCTTAAATATATAACAGATAATAAATAATACACTCTACTCTGTCGAAACTGGTATGTATAGATATGGATTTTGCCAAGAACTAGATCTGAAGACACTAATCTATACTGGATAATGATACTTGTACTGTACAGCAAGCAGTGTTGTGCTGAGACAGGGATACAAACACAGACAGTACGGAATGGGATGTCCTGGACTGTCCGCCAAAATGTTAATATCCTGGACAATAATGAGGGCTGCTTGGTTAGCTAATCTGATCATTTGATAAGCCCTTGTGTACAATGTGACATTAGACACCATAATAGATATGAGATATTGTCCTGGACTGTCTGTGTCACTACAATTTTATTGGGACAATGTCCGAACCCAACACTGCACTGTACAGTATATTGATATTAAATGTAGACGATTTAAACTATTTAGGTTTTATAACATGTATCAGTGTAAAATTGGTCAATTCTTTCATGATAACTAGGTCAGCCAGGTTATTCTTGTTAGAAAATGTGATTCAAAAATTGGCAAATCTAGCATAATCACCAATCGAGAGTGCAGTTACGTGATCCTCGACCATAGATGAGATTAGTGATGCCACTGAAAGTGATTTCAAAAAAGGCCTATTTCATCTTCATTAGAGAAAATTAAAATTTTTTGTAAGAAAGAGCAAATAAAATTAATATATTTATACTTGTTATAATTTCATCTATTTAAAAAAAGTGTCAAAAAATTTCGTCTTTTAAGTAAATAGGTCAAAAACAATTTTGTCTTCAAATTTTAATTTTGGGTTTTAGAACCCGAAATAATTTCATCAGCATGTATAGATGAGATAGGCTGCTAACCCTCCCCTTCTTAAAATTACATAACAAATGGCACTTCCCGATTTTTTTTCTTTACTATTAACTCAGTAGTCAGGTTTGCCTTTGCAATATGTCTAAATTATTTATCACAAAACTACTGTAATAGTAGTGGTTTATTTTTTTAAAAAAAAACAATTAAGAAAGCACACTCTCCCAAAAACTTTAATATTCTAGTTATTGGAACTTTCCAGAGAATTGTAATATCGAGTATCGTATGGGATTTTTGGTGACGCTAAGGACTTTTAGGGGATAGCCTAGTGTTCAAATTTATGCAATTTCAATCTCTAATTAGGATAATTACAGCATTATCGTTATGGCATTACGGTGTTTGGTATTATGGCATTATGGTACATAATATATTTACGGCAATTAGGCACTGTTTCAGAGTTAATTCTACCATTGAAAAAATGTCGCAATGCTGTCATTAAATAATTCTATTGCGTACGTACAACTATACACATCATAACCAAAATTTTAAATTTCGTGATAATATTTTGCATATAAATTTATAGTTAATTGGGTAAGGTGCAAAAAAATATGCACATGGGTGTTGAATGATGATAGATGATTGGCTTAGATTGCGCCGCTGCACGGCACAATCCATCATTCTTTATTGACATTTCAATACCCATGTGAATATCTATCCAATAACGATATTATTGTGAAGCAGCTATTTTTTTTTTAAGGATCAAAATTTAGACTATTGTTAACGATAAAAAATAATAAATTAGTGATGACATAAACTAAACAAATATAACTGATAAGATATCCCCTGTGATTAAATTTAATAATTACGGCGTTACGGAATTATCGTTATGGACAATATAACTGATGCAAAATTAGATACTATACCGTAATTAATTCTACCATATGGTAAAAAATGCTGTAATGCCGTAATTCAGTAATTCTACCACCAACTATAGCCGATCCGGATTGGCACAACTGTTTTCGTCGATGTCGTGATTTATTGAAATTTATGAAACAAGCTATGAAAGTGGGGTTAATATAGAAATTAAAGTTTGGAATTAAATGTTAACCGGATTTATCATATAATAATAAGAGAAATAAAACCGGTACCAAAACTTTGGGGAGTCATATTAGAAGAGTATAATAATACAGTATTATTGGCTGCTTCGCATCCAATAACTATATAATATTACAGTATTATTGGCTGCTTCGCATCCAATAACTATTGAATATTTATTTTCTAGAATACGGTTTACCTTCGATTTCGTCACGCGATTTCTATATCTATATCAATATTAAAAAATAAAGTTATCAAATGATACAATGCACATGAAAAATTTACTATTATTGGATTTTTGGAACTTTTCATTGGTACAATAGTGGTATATATTATATACTATATATTCACTATATAACAGATATAATGAAGTAGTACAATTAAAGCGCCTTTTTCTCCATTCAATTTTCGATTCTTAAATAGATGTCGAGACTAATATTTGTTGGAGTCTTCTTAATAGTTTCGATATCACGAGTTCTGGCGTATCCTTACTATAGTCAAAATGAAGATTTTAGCGTGAATGCTCGCCACCCGAAATATCATGAGCAAGTTAAAATTCCATACTGGATCAAAGTTATCCTTACTGTCATTTTGGTTTTATTAGGTGGTCTGTTTGCCGGTAAGCCATTAAAGTTAAATTATTAAATGATATGTATAAGAGATTTATTAATGGTTGGTTGTTTTTTTTCAATAAAAAAATTTTCATAATTTTAGGTTTAACTCTTGGTTTGGTATTTCGAAATTTATGATTAAAAATTTGATTGTTTTAAATTGCTTCTAGAATTAATTATTATTTGTGTTTAGATGAGTTTGGATGAAACCAATCTCCATATTCTTGCTTCATCCGGTGACGCTACACAAAGGTACATAGCATAATTTTAATTATTTATACTTTTTTTTTCATTGTAATATTAATTCTTTATCGATTTATTAGAAAATATGCAGCGCGAATTAAACCTATACGTAAAAATGGACATATGCTTCTGGTCACACTTCTTCTTGTAAACGTATTAGTTAATGAAACTCTTCCAATCATCATGGATGACGTAATGGGTGGTGGAGGTATAACTGCAATTTTAGTTTCTAGCGTGCTTATTGTTATTTTTGGAGAGGTAACAAAAATTTTTCTAAAATTTTCAAAAAAAATAAATAGAAAAAATTTTTACAAATTTATATTCTTATTTTATAATTAGATTATTCCACAAGCTGTTTGTTCAAGATATGGACTTGCCATTGGAGCTTTCTTTGCATGGTAAATATCAAGATTTGCAATTAATAAGTTTAGTGTTTATTATACTAATAAAATTTTAATTTTCCGATTTAGGCCTGTAAGAATATTGATGTGGTTGACTGTAGGTTCCATTACTTCATATATTACAGTGTTATTATTTTAACTTATCTTTCGAGACTTATCATTTAATTTCAATACAAAGTATATAATTGCGTATCCGATAGCAAAATTATTAGATAAAGTTCTCGGTGAAAATCATGGCATAATTTATCGTCGTGCGGGTAAGATTTTATAATCACTGTCCATCATTGTCACCAATCAATAGTTATCCAATCAATAGTTATTAACATTAATATTGTTTCTTTTTGATAATATAGAGTTGAAGGAATTAATTCAGTATCACGGATCTTCCACTAAACATGGAGGTGATCTTGTTACAGATAGTGTTACAATTATTCGTGGAGCACTTGATCTTCAGGATAAGGCTGTCGAAATTGCGATGACACCAATTGATAAGGTAAAGTTTGTTTTTATGTGTTACATATCTATTATTTAGATTCACAAACGGTTTGTTATCCCTTTATTAGGTTTACATGTTACCTGTTGATACGATAATGGATAGAATTACCATGCGAGAGATTTACTCAACAGGTCACTCAAGGATTCCCATATATGGAGAATCACGTCAAAATATTGTTGGCGTTTTGCTAACCAAGGTAAAAACAAAGTAGAACCAATTTAATTTTCTATTAAGTTAATATTATTTATCATAATTATTAATAGTAATTACTTATAATATTTTATTTAAAGTCTTTAATAATGTATAGCCCAGATGAAGCTCGTCCGTTAAAAAATTTTCCCATAAATAATATGCCTACAGTCTTAGCCGCGACTCCTTTATTTGATATTCTAAATACTTTTCAAGACGGTAGAAGTCATATGGCTATTGTCGTTAAAGGAGAAGAAAATATGCCCATCGGTGTTATAACATTAGAAGATGTTCTTGAAGAATTGATCCAAGAAGAAATTTATGATGAATCAGATACACGAATTGGTTTGGCGGTTAAATTAGAAACCGGAGATCAACTGATTTTGGCATCCAAGAAAAAGCGCGCAGAATCAAGCAAGGTTGTATACCATAAACACAAATTTAAGAGTCCAAGTTCAAGAGCCGATTCTATACAAGGAACTCCCTCTCAATCCGTGATCGAAAATAATCGTGCGGGAGATTTAATTGTATTCGATGAACCTAGTACGATGTCTACTATACCGTCACGCGACGATACCGGTGAGTTACCTCATGCCAACGACTCGTTAACCACGAACGCCAATTAGTCTTATTAACGAAATGGTTCAAATAGTTTAAAACAAAGACTCGGATGGTTTTTTTTTTTTCTTAATATCAATATATATTAGATGTACAAAACTAAATCGATATTCTTTATGAAAAAAAACCAGAATGTTGATTTATTTTTGTTTCTTTTGTAATATTTTCGTGTATAAATGAAATGAATTTAACAATTTTTATAATGGCATAGTATTTTAGTATTAGATTGTGAAATTATAAAAAAAAAAAAAAATGTATCAATAAATGTATAAATAGGTAGTCCTTTTTTTTATGTAAAAGTATTGATCTTACACGATATGATTCAAATGTTTCTATACCCTTTATTATGTTTTGCGCATTTGTATTTACAAACTATTTTTGAACGCACAATTTTGCTTTAAATTTGCTATCAAAAATTTCTAAAAAAAAAAACAAGACAGAATAGAATTTTTTTTAAAAGTATTATACGTAATGATTATTTTTTTTTAAAAAAAAATGTCCACCAATATTTTTTTATCACGATTTTGAAATGAAAGCTTAATTTTGAGATGATGGCCAATAACCAGGTAATTTTTCGAGAGATATTTTTCTACTAGCTAAATTTTTTTCAATGGGTAATTGTTTACGATAAGGTAAAACTTTTGCTTTAGTGTAAACTTTTAATTTTTGTTGATTAACTAATTTTCTACCAATTAAGGGAAAAAAACAAAGATCAGTAGTAAATTCATCGAATTTCGACTCCCAACCACTTTTCATCGTTTCCGAATCAATTTTAATTCCATTTTCAATCCATTGAAATTGAGTAACAGGTTCTTGAGCTTGCATTCTAAAATAAAAAACGGTTATAACACTATGAACAACTTCAGAAGCTGATTCATTAATTTTGATTAACTTTTCAGGAGATTTAATATTACAATAAGTGTTCATAATACTAATAACTTTTTCCGAGACAAATTCGATAAAAGGATGATCGAAACCATCATAATCTCTAGAACCGAGAACAGCGTAAACTTCAGGATTTATCTTTTGAATAGTATTTCTTCTTAAAAAACTATCACGTTTTTTTGAATGATTTAAAGTATCTTGTAAAGTTCCATTAAAATAAATATCAGAATGTTCTAAAATAGAGTCAATTATTTGACGTTGTAAAACTCCACTTAAGAATTGTTTTGACCAATCATTATTAAGATCAAGTTGAGTTCTACAATCATATTTTCGGAAAAGATCTTTAGAATTAACTAAATTAATTTCAATATCATCATTTAATTTAGTAAAATTTGAAAGTAAATCTTGACAACGTTCTATATCAGTTATAAGTTGAAAAATATTATTAAAATTAGCTTTTTCCAAAAAATGAATTTGAATGGCTTGAGCTTCAATAATTTGTTGAAAATTTTGGTCAGCTTGAAAAGGAGAAGAAGGTTGATTATTATAAAGACTTGGAACTTCTTGTAAAGCTTCTTGTAAAGCTATATTAACTTCTTCATTATAAGTCATAATAACAGTGAGAAGATTTTCATCTAAAGATTCATAATTATCTAATATAGAAGTAATATGTTGCCTAACAACAGCTAGTTGATTTTGAACAGCTTGCATCATCATTTCAGAAGTTTCATTATATTCATCAAAATTACGAGAATCAGAAATAGAATCATCACTATATCTTTGTTCTTGAATTCTACTAAGGTCATGTAATCTAGCACGAAATTTTTCTATTTCAGACATAACACTATTAATTTCCAAGTAAATTGGACTATCTTCTTTTGTATTTGCAAGAATAGCAACGTTTTCTTCTTGTTGTTTTTGGATTTTAATCAAACTTGATCTCTTTGGTTTATATAAGTTTTTTTGATTTTGTTGCATTTGAGTAGTAGTAGTTGACATTGTTGTCATAGTAGTAGATGATAAAGATGAATAACTTGACATAGTTTTTTTTTACGTACGTACGTTAAAAAAAAAATGACGAAAAATAATAAAGGAGATAATAAAGTATTTTTTTATTTTGTAATTTATAATAAATTTTTTGTGTTCAATTTATACAAATACTTTTTTATCTGCATCCTATCAAAAGAATGCTCGTACTGGTACTCATAAAATATGCAAATAAACGCTTAATTAATCGATTTGTGGAGACACCAATATAATTTCGTGTTCTCACTCGCGAATCATTATAGACTTATATATATGTGTATGTGTATGATATATATTATATCTGTATCTGTATGTCGTGTAGTTTCGTACGTTACGTTACGTTTCTGTTATGTTACGTAAGTACACTGAAAGTGGAATTGTGGAATTACTCCGCAATGATGTGTTTAAACATTTACAGCGCAGCGGTATGAAATGATCTACTACGTATCATAATACAGGAATAATGGATAATGTTTTTTTTTTCAAGTATATATATTTTTTGTATACATAACCATAAAAGTTTAAAGAAGGAATTACATTATGATATTTTAGTATATCAAGTAAATTTTGATAACAAAAAAACGAGGATTTATATATTTTAGTATATCAAGTAATTGGCGTTAGGTAATTTGGTAAAAATTTTACCTTATAGCTCTCTTGACCAAATATAAATTTTTGTATTACTTATAAAGAAAATTTGACGATAATCTTATTTAACCATTTTTTTCATACTATTTTAAAAAAATTCGATTGGTTTTTTTTATTTTCTTTCATTAAAATCGTTAGCATTAATTTTAATTATTATTATTACAAAGTATAATTAATCATGTATTGTTATTAATTATAATTAATTAGCATTGGTGAAACTATGGTTATTTGTTAGTAAAAAAAATTACGATAAATGATTGGCAAATGATAATAAATATTAGTAGTTAGTGACAACCAATCAAGTTTATAAATTCATTATTTTTAAAACTAATAGTATCACGTAATCAACTTTATTCGTGTTTCTATATTTTAAACATTCTAATATTAGAACATTTGAACAAAGAAATTTATATTAAAGTTCGATTCATTACATGCGTGTTATGCATCATCTTTGTATTTAGATAGATGAGATCCCACGTTACGTTACGATAGTTACGATAAGGTTTTACCTCAAATATTAGTGTTGACGTTAGTTGGCGTCATATAAATTTCGGATTTTAAAAATTACATCTTTAGCCTAACTAACGGATAAAATTACAGATAAAATTTTTTTTTTTTTTAAAAAAAAAATGAAGTTCTAAACTAGTTTCATACTACAATAGAGCCATTTTTGTAAAAAAAAAAGCCAAGTTTATATTCGAAATTTAATTATTAAATTTGCATCGATAAACATCCATATGAGTAAAAAAGAGATTAGGGTAGCACCTTAATATTACGATGAATGTTCTTTAAAAGTCAAATATATATATATATATATATCACCATAATCTTGAACGTACCAAAGAAATATATATATATATATATGTATATACAGTATATTTAAAAAGAAATAAAGGAAAAAAGAAAAATATAAATGTAATAATAATTCTAAAGCCAATTGGCTTGTCCAAAAAATTCCCAAAGTTTACTTGATTTGTTAACATCAATTTTCAACATCTTTTGAGCATCACTTTTTCGAAATGGTAACATTCGTTCCTTATATCTACGTGATGCAGAAAGTAGTATGTATTTTGATGTTAAATATTGTACTGGTGTAAGTCTTAAAAGAGATGCAACAGTAGCTTCAGTTTTATGCAATACTTCGTAACGAAGTAAATGTGAAATTTCTAAAGGATTACTTTTCCATTTAACATTAAGATTAATGTTATCCAAGCTACTCATATCAAGATTCAGGTCATTAATATTTTTAATTAAATCCTCCCATTCCAAGTGAGGTGTGGATGAAAGACGAATAGAATTACTATTATTATTATTATTATTGTTATTATTATTTGATTTTTTAGAACCAGATGTTTGGTCACATAAACCACGATCTATGAGCACTCGTGATAAAGAATTTCCACTATTCTTCAATTTAATTTTATGCAAACGTTCAGAAGGTAAAGTTGTAGGATCAGGTGTTGTTGGTGGACTTGGTATTGCAGCCTCTGTTGTAGAAGATGAAACACTTTCGTCGTCGTCAGGTGTAGAAAGTAAGTTTGTAATATCCATAGTGAAAGGTCTCACTTCAGATTTTGAATCTTGACAATCTTTAGATAAATGTTCCGTAGATGATTGTGGTGTTAATAAACGTTTGTTTTTGCTATCATGATCAGTAATTAAAGAATTTGATTCATTTTTATTCTCGTATCTCTCATCTTCCTCTTTTTCGTCCAGATCCATAAAATCTGAACATTTTTTCATACGGTAATGATCCTTGGACTTTTTTTTCAATGCATAAGCGTATTTGTCTTCTTTTCGTTCACGTCGCTTTTTCTATTAAATTAAAAGAAACATTTAATTTTTATTATATGCATGAGCAATCAGTATGCATGAAAAAGAATGCATATTACAAGAGCTTTCGACAATGTCTTTGATAAATCTTTGCTATTTAGATTTTTTGTAACTTGAGACTTTTTACTCTTCATCTTTTTTCTTATTTAGTTACTATAAAAACAAAAAAATATATTTGTTTTATTTTTTTAGGTTTATTTATTCTTCAGGTTATTGGATTTTTTTTTTTTTTCGATCGAATTAAACTTGAAATGTTTTGAGGATACGTATTTATAAGATCTTATATTTACGGTAAAATTTAATTGTTATATAATTATAGAAGCGTATAATTTAAAGAGACAAAAGAGGTCATGGTTTACGTGTGATCTTCCGTACTGTAAAAATTTTTTAAATGAAGTTTATTTACGAAAGAATTACATACGTATGTACAGTATACACGTATAAACTATTTGTCGTCAGTCGTTAGTCGGATATTCGGATATTTATTCCGTATTTATATCTCATAAAGGTCAAATTTAGAAACTACTGAAATGAAAATCCGTTAATCTAATTTATACGAATTTATACGTCAAATGACTAATTACTTAATATGGTTCGATATGAATGATTATCTCTGTATATTTCTTTACTACCTTTTCCCTGAATGTTAAAAAATTCGCCTATTTGCCTCCTTTAAACAAAGTGTCAAACTTTATCACCAATATGATATTATAGGTGCAGATATTTCTCGATCTATAGCCAATTATTTTTTTTTACATTATGTAAATATTTTAGTAAAATTATTTTGATCGCAGTACCCTTGAAAAGGTATACTACAAGGGTATTAAACGCCAAGAGTTTTAGAAGGTAAATACGTACGTACCTACTTCTATAAGCATTACCCTATTGTTTTCTCTTATTGTACAGTCTTTTTTTTTCATAGTCTTTCTTTCTTAATACCTTATTTCATAATACCTTATTTCATAGTACCTTATTTAATAGTATATCTTTTTCTATATATGATGATACTCTAATTTTAATCAGAACCCTTAAAGTATCTCTAAATTCCGTAAAACATGTTCAAATATAAAAAAATTTTCAAAAGATTATTTGAAACACACAGGAGAATATCGGATTATAAATCATATCAATGAGAATAGCAATCTTTACATTTATGTCATTATTAAGAAACTAAGAAACAAGGATGATTATTAAAGTTATCTTTTCAATTTCAATCTTTACGAAACTTTTACATTGATGATGAGACAAATTAATAACTTTTATCTGCACTTTTGGTTAGCCTATTCCTTTTTTATATTGGCGAGTTTTTTTTCTTTACCTTTATCGACTTTTAAAGACTTAGAATTGATCGATCGTTCCTGTCATTTTTTGTCGACTAAAATCAGTTTATTTTTGTATAGATTCTCTGTTAATGACATAATTTTCTGTTCTACGCTTACTATATTATTTCCTATTAAGATTCACTGCATTTCCTCGTTCCATGTTAATTTTTAATACTATATCCCAAAAGTCTCTATAATCGTACAGTACTAATTGATCTATATAATGTTCATATTAATTTGATATGAAATTAATTTGAAAAAAATTTGTATCAACTACTTGAAGTAATCCGAATTATTATATGAAATTGCGCGATTTTGATTATGCCATATTAATTATTACTAGGTATTAAATTGCCTAAATTTTTCTAAATAATTTGATCTTTCAATTTAGTCGTCATTTATGATAATTTTGGTTCATGATCAACGTAATTTATCAAGAACTATGAAGCTTTTATGCTTAATTATTACCTAGTTTATCCTGAATGCTAAATGATGAATTGGTTTCAAGATTTACAACTTTTTATAGTATATATTTTGTATATATTTATATCTTTAAAAAAGAGTATATTATTATAGAATTAGTATTGCTCGCGTTCATGCCCTTAATACAACCTTCCTTCTATAAGTGCACATTTTTAGGGAAAATCTTGGGAAAAGTGCGCACATTGAACGTGCATTATGGTGAATATCTACGTACACGTGAGTTAAATTTACTGCATATTTATATAGATAGATGTGGAGTGCATTTACAGAATTACGAGAATGTGGCTTATTCAATAAATATTTACGAGGTTTAATTAATATTGAATGAATATCTAGATACATGTATATGTTCTGGATGTATATTTCGGCTATATATTTTGGCTATATATTTTAACCAAATATTCATCGAATTTTCATGATCTAATCTTTGATTTGACTATCTACGAATGTGTAGTGATTACTTGTTTTTAATCGAATATTCTTTTTTTAACCATCTAATTTATTGAGTACGACCCGTGTCCAGCATCATGTTTTACTAGAACTAGTGTTACAAATCGAAAATCGCAACTAATCGATTGAAAAATTTTTGCCAACTTATATTAAAATCAAATAAAAATCGATCAAAAATTGAATAAAAATCGAATAATCGAAAAGTTGACAACTAATCGATTGCAAAATTTTTGGCAATTTGTATCACTAACTAGCTATGGCGATGTATCGCTATCCTCAGATTTATGTTAATATTCTGAATGTAAAATCCCAAAAGTTAAAATTCCAAACCGAAACTTAATTGAGACGTCGCGTGATGACGGAGCTCCAATATCAAGCGCTGCCTATGATTAGTAATATATATTACTAATCATAAGCGGGGTCTGAATATTGGAACCTCGAGCACTCTACGCGACAATTGAGTTTCAGGGGGATGGCGATAAAAAAAAAATTTCCTAACTGGTAATTATATAATTTAAAAAATTAAAATATTGTATCTCTCTTTTAATAATCAAATAAATAAATAATATATATAATTTTTTTCTTTTTAATAGTAAATGTAGATCGTATAACAGGTTCATACGCCAAAAAGACTCGATTAAGCTCATGAGATTTATTTGTTATAAAAGAAAATCCGTTATTGGATACACCGCATCCAATAACAGCATGTCTGGCTTTGAATTTAATGTGCTTGACAACCTGATCCCCTTAGGGGCCCAGGTTAGCACATTAATTCGAAGCCGGATACTTCTTTTATTTGTCATTCAAAATGATCATCCCATGATACGAAGGATCACGGTATTTCTGCTAAATAAAACTGTTATTGGATGTCACACATCCAATAACTATATATTATTATTGAAAATATTACTATTTTTGTGCTAATTTAATATATACTATTGGTTGTCTTATTAACAGTAATATATATTATTAATACTTTAAAGTTTATATATAATAAAGACTAGTTTTTTTATATTAATTAATATTTAAAAATTATATACAGTATAATATATATTTGAATATTTTTATAATCTATTTATAAAAAGGTTTATTTTTAATTTAATATTTTTTTAAAAAAATTTAGTTATTTAATTTTTAAAAATTAAGACTTTTAGTATTTTTATTAAGATTTGACCAAGTATTTTTTTTATGCTATTTATTATACAAGTAATTTGGTATAATTATCAAAAAAAAAAAAAGCTTGCAAAAATTTAAATAAAGTTATATAAAAGAAATAGAATGTTGCTAACTTGCCCTCTTGGTGATTTAACCACCCCACAATTTACCAATCATATTACAAAATCTTGTGTAACAAAATAAAGACATTTTTTAAAAAAATTTAAAAAATTAACAATATTGCGAAATTTTATTACAAGAACTAGTTATAAGCTATTAAGTAAAAGTTTTCAGCACCTAATTTTGCATATAAATAAGCTACATATCAACTTAATATAGCTAATATTCTAACCTTAATCTTTAAAAAATATTTATTTATATACTGTAAAAAATTCTATAAAAATAAAGGGTGGTTAAATTTTATAATTTTAACCAGGGTTAAAATAAGTTAAATTCAAAGAAATAAAGTTATAATAAAAAACAAATTATTAATTTAAAGCTAGATTATTATATAAAAAATAATTAATTTATATAGTAAATTAATTCTATTTTAAGTCAAAATATTAAAAGAATTTTACTTACATCAGCAAACTCTTTCTGACAATTACTTGGACCAAAATTTTTAATAAAAAAAAAAGTATATTTTCTATACTACCTATAGTTAAATAAACAATATAATAGTTTTTATAAAGGTTATTCTTCTACTAGTGCTACAAATTGTCAAAAATTTTGCAATCGATTAGTTGTCAACTTTTCGATTATTCGATTTTTATTCGATTTTTGTTCAATTTTTATTCAATTTTAATATAAATTGCCAAAAATTTTTCAATTGATTAGTTGTCAACTTTTCGATTAGTTGCAATTTTTGATTTTTGATTTGTAGCACTACTTTTTACTATCTTTGAAAACTTCTTTATATATTTAATATGCAAGCTAAAAGCATCTTTATATAAGATAATTAGTTGGAGGTAGCATTGTATATAAAATTTTGGTAAAAGACAATTTACAAAGAGGCACTCTTTCATTGATAAAATCTAGTATTACAAAAAAACTAAAAAACAGGCCATATTCATTTTACTTGGTCAGGTAACTTTTTTATTATCTACTCTTGCTTCCTTGCTAGTTTTTTAAAATTTTTTAAAAAGCAAATATTTGAGTTGATTTTTAGTAAAGGTGACCACTATAGAAATATTATAAGATTATAATATATAAACATAGTATTTAAACTAATTTAAGCAAATTTGAGATTAGTTAAGGTTAGTTAAAGGTTATAGTAAAGTTTTTAGTTAGCTCTAGGGTTAGGATTAGAGTTTTTTAATATTATAATCTTATAATATTTCTATATTGGCCACCTATACTAAAGAAGATTTGGTATCCAACCCTTCATGAGTGAGTTTTAGGTTCAAGTTCTAGTAGGTACATTACCTATAAATATTTAGAAGTATCTGCTATGGGAAGTTCAAATAAATACAGATCTGGATTAGGAATTTCCAGAAGAAGGTCCATTGTGGAGTAAATAGCACTATGTGTAATAGTGGTCATTATAAAAGGTTTTATTACACAAAAGTTGTGTATATAAATTTACAATTAGCAAGGTAGCATCAACAATCTCTAAAGTGGCATTAGAATCTTGTTTAAGAAGATGATTAGGCAGTAATCAAAATTGGAAAGTGGTGAGAAATGTGGTAAACACAAAGGGACCTGTAGTAAAGAATTGGTCTTATTAGATTTGGAACATCTCTGGCACATATAGAACTTATTGACTAATAAGAAGTTGAAGTATGGAGGCATGTATGTGTTAATAAACCTAACAGGCTCTGATTATACCCATATGGGAGTTTTCAAATATTAAGAGGACTCGGGACCACCAATATAGATATAGCTAGTATAAGTAAATGTAGCAGTAATTGGAAACTACAATTGCTGAGAATCACTATAAATAAAATGATGATGCACTTGTTAAGAACCCCTAGACTTCATGATCTTATCCAACTATATTAGGTACTGGAAGTATTTGCAAAACATGTCTGAGCAGTTTTGTCACTATATTGGAAAGTACAGTTATTTGCACATTACTGAATTCGAAATATTAAAACCTGGGTTCCAAAGTTGCAAGAAACCAGATAGTTATAGCAGCATGTAGGCTTGAGACACTTACTCAATTGAATAGAAGCAGCTGCATAGTTTGAGATACAAGCTTCTAGAAGTACACTAGTTAGGACTAAATACACCAAACTAGAAGCAATAAGTGCTCACCTAGTACACACCAATTTGGAAGTTAAAATATTAAGTATGTAGATAAAGTGGCAAACATATAAATACTAATTAGCAGTTGAAGAGGGATGTATAAATCCAGGTCAATTATATGTATGGAAGTGTTGACAGCTCTGGTAGGTTTTAGCTATAGATAAATAGTCTTAGATTTAAAGTCCTAGTTCTAGTTCTAATATGTAATATATGTATTTCAGTACTACTATATATCAACTTGCTTATGTATTAATAAAAATCTGGGGCAGGTACTACACCCTAATATTAAAAAAAAAAAAAACAAAACTAGGCTCAGACAAGTAACCTCTAATTATAGTAGTAAATAGCTTTAAATACAAACCTATAGATAGCAGCAGCATCTGACTTGAGATATAAATTAGAATAAACTTAAACAAAGTTATCTAGAATTAATTGTAAAGTCAAAAAAAATTTTAACATTAAAGCAAAGCTTTACAATAGATATATACAAATATTGTATTTGTTATATAATTTTTATTTTTACTTAGTATGGGTTATAATGGTATACTTATTATAAATTGTTTTTTCTTTTTTTTTCTTATTAACTTTTTTTTTTTTTGTATTTTCTTTGTTGTTTTATTGTAGTCTTCATATAAATATTTTTCCTTTTTAGACTTTTTTTTTCTTTAATTTTAAAGTTTTTTTTGTTTAGTAGTTAAAAGTTTTTTTTTTTTACTTGGAAAGTTAAAAAAAAAAGTTTTAGATTATAAAAAAGAAGAGACAATTTTGATAAACTAAATGTAATAGCCTTCTAGTAATATAGTAAGTTTTTAGTTGCAAAAAAATTAATATAGCAGAAACATTTACTATAGCAGATTAAACATAAGTAATTTGAACTTTGGTTACAAAGAGCTGGATTAGCTAATACTTGTAAATTAGATTTGTCATCCTAATAATAGCTGCTTTGACATTTGTATAAAATAGATATAAAATAGATATAGTATTAAAAATTAATAAAGTTTTAGTATGATTGTCAAATTTATAAAAGAATTTTTTATTTAATTAATTACTACAAGTACTAGAACTATTTTTAATAATCATCTATACTAAAAAATCCAAAAATATTTTTTTGTTAAAACACAATAGTGTAAAGTAAAAACAAAAGATATACTAGTAGCAATAAATTAACAGTTGTTATTTAGAGATAGTTCTCATATGCTACCTGCTAACTTCTTCAGAGTTTATCACTCACTGCATGCATAGTACTTGTCATTTAGAAGTAGTTCTTATATGCTACTTGCCAACAAGTTTAGAGTTTATCACTTACTTATAAGAAAGTATAAATGCTCTACTCCTTTTTTAAAAAAAGGTTTTGGAGTTGTTAAGTCTTTTCATAGATGTAACTACTCTTCTTAGGTGCAAGTGGTTTCTCTCTAAGTTCTTCTTATCACTCAGCTAGTCTTTTAAAAATTTTTAAAAAAAGTAAGCAATTTGGTTTACCTTCTTCAAAA